CAACCAAGAAGTATACCCATACCTATATCCTATACGTGACACGCGCGTTTAAATATGGCGGCAGTCTCCCTCCACTCGTTCTTTAGTTCACTACTTCCGGGCAGGTAGTCTAGGCGGCGCTGAAACCAGCGTTCCTCTTCTCACAAGAGGCGAGTTTGAACCCCCTGGGGAGACACCTCCACGGAGAACAAGGGCCGTCCAGACAGATATCACCGGCGAGATCCGCAGCAGAGATCACAGATCTACAGAGAAACGACGCCACCGCTCCCGCAGCCGACAACGACGATCAAACAGCCCATCGGGAGTACATCGAAGCAGAAAGGATCACAACCATAACCGCCGTCATCGCAAGCTTTCCAGAAAACAACTTGATATTATAACTTGATATTATAACTTGATATTATAACATTAAACGGTTCTTGTCAGAACCTATCTGTATATAGAGTGTAAATAGTTGGACAAAGAAATATATCTTCTTGGATATCAGAAAGAGCGTAATCATTAGCGCTCCCCGATCTATTCACAGTCCCGGCTGCCTACCTCTCGTTGTTGTTTCCTTATCTGCTGCTGTACAAACACGCCACAAAGACAGATGAAAACATGATGGAAGTAACAAGGTGTGCTCGTGCGCAAGCAGTTTTGTTGGCCAATAAAGGAGCGTGACTGAATTCAGCCATCTTAAGTCATTCAAATGCATATAATTTAAAACAAAATCAATAATACATTTACTAAATAAATTTTAAGTATAATTTATTAATTACAATATCATATGTATTAACTATAAATAAATTATACTAATAAATATGCATACCAATTTGTAGAGTTAACCTATTTCTCACGCACTTTGTTTATATAGAGTATATTCCGTTTCATGCATATGCGCACATTATCTTATTGCATGTTACGTGTACTATAGAATTGTTGTACCGACACGACGGTACCGGATTCTTTCCACAGGATTTCCCGTTTGAATTCGGGGAGAAGTAATTCCGTCTTTATTCAGTAGTGAAGATTATCTTTATTTGGCAATTTACAGTTTGGCTTCTTATAGCTAGTACGACGACTCGGCGGTAGTTCTCGGACTTCTGCTCTCAATCCTGTCGTATTACTTCTTATACCATCGAATT